CTCGAATCTTACCTTAGGTACCAACTGCCGGACCTTCTGGGGGCCAGCTTCAGCACCACGTGTCGCGGTGAAGCTTTGGCTTGGAACCTCGGTCGTTTGAAAGCTGCTGAGGTTGAACAAGCCGTAAACGCTGGCATCATGGCACCTGAGACCAGATGACGTAGGATGTGAGTACGACCGGCATATGGGGACGTAGGGCTAGATCTGGGCCTTGGCACGTATCTGTCGCGTGGTGGAGTCAGAACCTGTTCGCGAGACTTTGGGAAAAAAAAATAAGTAAAAAAAAAATAAAAAAATAGGGGACAGCCTAGGAAACTCCCGTGTCGCTGCGGCGCTTCTCACCAGGTTTGGTGTGATCGTCTACCATGGAACGGAACTTTCTGCCAAAAACAGAGGGCGGTTGCGACCCACTCAGCAGACCAAGTGGTTAGGGCGATGTCAATCAAAGGGCGCTTGAAGATTAGACTCGCCAACTCTGTCTAGGGCCTTGGAGCTATGCTAGAATATATCACAGACCGCCCTGCCGTCTTGAGCTGAACATGACGTCAAGGACAATGGGAACCGTCAAGATCTGCTACGTCTGGGGTGCTTTCTTGGATCTGTGCCTACACCTACCCTAAAGCCAAGGAGGGCTCGACCATGTGAGACATTGGAAATGATGTCGGGGTGGAGCGTGCGCAAGCGAAGGTGCCTGGACGTGGGTATATGGCTTCTTTTATTTTGGCACTAGGTGGTATACCTAGTTTGGGTACACGGGGAGAAATAGGCGCAGGGCGGCCATTGACATCAAGTGCCCGAGGTTGCGTAATGTACGTGCATGCAGCAAATGGCGACGTTCACGATGGCGCAGTACCTTGATCATCAAGTGTGACAAACTATGCCAAGCAGGTTGGGTGTTTGATATTAAACGGATAGGCCCGACGACTCGTAACTGACGAGCAGCGGCACCAGTAGCGACGAGGGACGGAGTGAGTAGGTGAAGGATCCAAGCATGCAGAGTCCTTGTCTGTTTGGCCGAATGGGGTAGGCGACAAGGTGAACTGTAATGAGTAGTGTATGCGAAGCCATGGCATTAGCTATCCGTTGGCTTTGATATAGCTGCAGGCTTGCACGCCCTGGGCGTAAGCTGTATAATGCGGGCTGTATTGATGAGAAGCTGGCGCGGCGTGGTAATGAGACGGTGAGGCAATGGGGTAGACTCCCGCGGCCACGACGGCTGGACAGGGCTTTTGTGACGGTGGTGTCGACAGCTCATTCTATCGAGTATTGGCAGCTGCATGGCGGCAGTTGACTATGTCGGCTCCATCCTATTGAGACAAGCATTTCCGTTGTTATGCAGCCGATGCGCAGGCAGACGCCAGATCTGCGAGGAGCAGCATTGGCCGAGCAGCACGTCACCATGGGGGGGGGGGAAAAGTGTGTGCCGGGTTGTGGAATGGGAACATGTGCGACGACAGACAGGAGTTCATGTGACGGGACTCCCCCCCCCCCCCCCCCCCCCCCCCCCCCCCCCCCCCCC